CATTGATCTTTCAACAGGGTTATAACGACTATTACCAGGTGTGTAACTGTTCAAAATCATAGCATCTAATTTTAATTTTTTCCATAATTCACCATAATTAAATATATTACATGGACTTTTACCCGACAAATCAGGTCCATTATCCGTTGTTAATATTGCAACAGATTTACCAAGTTGAATTAACGGTCGCATTACAGATTCAAGATTATGCACGTGCATTGAACTTGTTGATTGAAAATATCGAGTACAAAACGTACGAAGGTGTATATTACCATTAGTTGAATAACGTATATGTTCACGTTTGAGATCATCAAACTTCGAAAAAAAATCCAATAAGAATTGGGTCTATGCAATAAATGTTGAATACTCTTCTTTCATTTATAATCCTCTAGCCTCAATATACTTCATTAAAGAACGTATAAACTTGTATAGTAGTGGATGCAATAAAAGAAGTGTATAAAATATTTTGTTTTTCTAATCAAAGCGAACCGTCTTTTCTGCTAACTCTACTACTATTTTTCATTCTTTACTTCCTTCACCTATATGTCAGGCGTCCCAAGAAGGAAACAAAAAACAGTCCACGTCCACGTTCCACGCGTTCAGTTATTTTTGATGGCTTCCCTTACAGAAGAAACAGAAAAAAAACGGTTACGGGACATTTCTTTGTATTTTCTACCTTTTTTCCTTATAAAACAATCTTAGTCTTTGCTATTTATGCAGGATCATCGTGTGAGTAGACAACACTTATGGTAAGAAAAGAAACTTTCTATCAAGCCCGGCTGAGGCGTGGCATAGTAGGTGGTTACGGAACCTCACATACTCAGTAAAGTGGGAATTACTTGGTAGTGAAAAGTGATAGAAACGTCGGATTTTCGCTGTGGTCTATTCTATATATTTAGTCAGCCTTTGGCATATAAAGAAGGCAAATTGAATAACTTACCAGAGCTATCACAGACCATGTGGTTACGGGACAGAAAAAATAATTTTTTTGGGATCACAGATTCGGAACAAATTTGTGAAAAAACAGAACGATCGGTAACAAAGGTAATGATGTAGCTGAGTAGAGCGAAGAAAATACTATAAGAAAGAGAGAAAGAAAAGATATTGCTCCACATAAAATAACAGAGAAAATAACATTTACAAAACCAGACGTATTTGAATCACCAAAAAAAAACAACGGTCAAAATAACGGTCAAACATGGATGTTTTGCTTATAATTCGTTCACGGTTAAACATAGAAAAGGCGTACTTGCAGCGATTATAAGCCTAACGTTGTTGAATATATGCGAGAAGTTCGAAAGTGATTCATCAAGGCTAAGAAAAGAAACGCTTGGGATCATTTACTTCATTCGAACGGTACTATTTTTATTAGAATCACTCAAATCTCCAGAAAGGGTATCCATAGATGAAAAAATTGGACTAAATCAAGCATATCTTTTTCACACGGACGTCCTGTTATATTTATTTATTATGAACTTGATTCAATTGATTTTGGCAATGATTTACATTGTTTCAGACTGTTAAAACAAACCGAATCAGTTACTGCTTTAGAATATAAGTGGTTGACTAGTATTTCGACTATAACTCAAAAACGACATGTACAATTTTATTTGAGCAATAGTTCATTCGAAAGAAAATTAAAAAATGAACAAAATGATGCATTAGAGCAGATTTATTGATTCAAGATGAGGTAATATGTCCAAATTACTCTCAGAAGTTATCACTTAAAATTTGTGACTTTTTTACATAAATTCATTATAGAGATTTTCTTTTACATGGAATCAGAAAATAAGTTTTGTTCCTTTGCAGAGCTGAAAATTGTCTATAAAATGAGCATAAAATCTTTGTAAAAAACTTGTAGCATATAGTCGGAAATACAGAAGTATTTGGTCAAATATACAAAATCCATTATACAGAGAAATGCAGACAAGGTCATGGTAGATACTTCCAAGTAGTTTTTCTCTTCGAAATTATCCAGTCTCAAGTTTCTAATTATGGTTTTAGATAGACCACTTTTAAAAAATAGTATCGAATAATAATATGCTTAATGATATGTAAGATAAATTAGACATTTTCCTTAAGATAAATTAAATATTTTCCACTTTCTAGATTACGTTCAAATTTAACAATTCCTAAATTATTTCCAGCATTTAAAAGTACTTCCTGTTCATGTTCGTCTTATTGCACATCTAACCGGATCCAAATTATTTGAGTTTCTGTATTGTTTTCTGTTCTAGAGAACACAGCATCTCAGTAATCTATCCGATTTTCAATTTTCACAAATACTTTTAAAATTCATAGATAAACGCTAATCTGTAAAGTTATCAAAATCATAAAGTAATGGGTCACTAGGGGGATTTATATACTACGTCGTTTTCAAATAGTTATTTATTGCGATAAAGATGCTATGTCACGTTGTTTGCCGTATGGTTGACAACGTTGGAGATTAATAATAAATAACGTATTACCATACCCTTCAGCCACTTTACGATCTTTTGTTGTCGATGTAAATGCTAACCATTGAATTCGTTTACCAACATTTTGTGTATATTCTTCAATCAATTCTTCAGTGAGTTTACAACCACGATAAACAGTTAATTCTTTTTGATCAAGTTCTGAACACCCTAAATGCCATGATAATAATTGACAGTAAGCACCTAATGTATCAGTTTTAGTCATATCTTCGCTTCTTAACGTTGAATTGACTAATTTATATAGAAATGATTCTGCTGAATAAAGACGAATACAACAATCATAAATTTCCTTGACTGATTTATCTTTAACATGTCGTAGTTTATCAGCTATCAGCTGAGCTTCCGACTCTTCATTTAATAATTTACCTTCTTCCAGAATACCCATAGTTTTCACAAAACAAGAAGGAAGAGTTTTATTTGTAGATCTAATAAACAGAATCGCCCATGTTCAACTCTTTCTCGTCGATGCGTCCGAAAGCGCATTCAATCCTGCATTTAATCGCCCCATAAATGAGCCATTCGACGCGTTTTATCTCAATGCGCTTAAATGCGTTTATTTGGTAATATGACGTATCCTGATGCTCTGATGATGATGAAATTACATCATTTCAGCACGTATTCGCGCAGACGAAGACGTGCTTCAACGCATGAAATTAGCAGAAAAAGACACATTTAAATGCCTCTAAACGAAACACATTCTGACGCGTTAGAGAAATAATTCGAAGTACTTACCCGTTTTATGGCGTCTTTTGATGTATCGGGTGGCCCAGATAAAATCGGACACTTTCATTCGTTGTTCATGAGGCATTGTCCGGCAGTTCACAGAGTTGGTTCTAAGCTCAATCGATAGTGAATTAAAGTCTCTACAAAACTTGCTATTTGAATCTCTGATAACAGTTTTGTCGTTTGTGCACTATTCATAATATTGAAGAGTGCTGAGTTGCCTAACTACAACACATTGAAAACAGAAAAATATTTGTCTTGATCCCAAAACAGATTTCATAAGAATTTTGAAAACACCAAAAGATTTACCGGAAAATTCTGCATCTTCTCACATATTTTTCGAAATTTTACAGTTAAGTCTTCAAAGAAAGTTTGTCTGTGCAAAAAACTGACAAATCCAATAAAACCTAAGTTTTGAACCTGTTTTTCACAGAATTTAGTTTTTGGCTTATCAAAGCAGTAAAATGTTGTCAATCCAGGGTTTTAGTCTTATTTTCTTACGCAGACTTAAATTTGGCATCGTTTCATATTTAAACAAAGTTTCTCAATTGAACCCATTAATTAAAAAAATTAATTTAATTTGAAAAAATTGAAAAATCGGTTGAGAGCTAATTATAAGTTTAGCTGGCGTAGCAGAAACATTGTATGAAGTTGTAAAGAAGTGAGATCGATAGAACAGAAAATTCTCTATCTATCTACGTAGATAGATTAACTATTGAATCTCAAATAATGGGCTAAAAATCTCAAAAAAGGAGACGACAAAAGCTTGTCGCAGTCGGGCAACTCAGCACTCTTCAACATTTTGAATAGTGCTTAAACGACAAAACTGTTATCAGAGATTCAGATAGCAAGTTTTGTATCTATCGATTGAGCTTAGAACCAACTCTGTGGACTGCCGGACAATGCCTCATGAACAACGAATGAAAGTGTCCGATTTTGTCTGGGCCACCCGATATAATCGTCAGAATACGATGCGTCAAAAATGCGTCTGAGAAACCGTTATAGAACGTCAAGTTTAGAAGCATTTTTGGACATGTTTAACGCAGTTTATTAGAAGATGTCTGCCTAATTTATTTTGAAAGGCGCATTTAGATGCGTTTTTGTTGGCAAAATTTGCCAGACGCGTTTGCTTAAGCGCTTTCCACGAGACGCGTCATTAAGCATTTCCTGAAGAAAATTTCGCAGACGTGTTTGCTAAATTTTTTCAAAAAGGAAACGTTTACGCGCGTTTTTTAAAAGAAAAACGCGTTTTTCAGACGCAACCAAGTTACATGGTCAAAGAAAGAAAATTACCGTTAGCTGCTTGTTCAACAATTTCTGAATAACGTGTAGCAGGATAACATAACACTTGATTTCGCTCATGCCATCCATAAGTAAATTTGCCTCCTCCGTATTGAGTAATGGTAAATGATTTCATTGGTTTTTCCGCAAAACAAAATCTTTCTTCTCGTAAATATCGACTAACATTAACTTCTTCTCGTTTTATAGGTCTCTGTTTAGTTCTATTATCTTTTCTAATTTGCAACATTTGCCTAAAATCAATAACATAATCACCTAATTGAACTTCTCCTTCACTCTTCTTTTGATGTGCATCTTCAATAAATTCATTTGCAAAATCTGAATAATACTTCCATACTTTTTCCTCGTTTTCATTCCACGGATCCGGATTTGATTGCCATGACCAAACGATTTTCTTTTTCGACGATGTGGAAGTTGTTGTAGTTGTTGTTGTAGCCATTTCTTTTGTACTCGCTTAAAACACACAAGCATTCAGCAATTTTTCCTCAATTTACGACATATTTATTAAATTAATTCATGGGAATCACGTACGCTACGCAAGACTTGCAAATGCGGTCGAAGAAAATCACTGACAGTTAGACTTGCATGAAGGTGCAATGCACTTACTTGAAGCTATGCTTTATGTTCTTCTGTAATAACATAGCAAACCATAGCTTCTATTACTACATTTATTATCTGTAAGACAGCAGTACATGTATTCATAATGTCTCATTGAAGAATTGCTTTGTAAGGTGAAAATTTTTAATAAGAATAATAGGACTAAAATCACCCTTTTAAACATAAGTATAAAGTAACAATATTTATTTGAGACGTTTCGTTCTATGCTATAGAACTTTATTAGTCAAAATGATTAGTGTGTACAATACATGAATATAAGTAAAACGGAAAGAAAAATATAAAGATATAAAGAAAACGTGGGAAGAACGGAGAAGACAATTTTGCTCCTCTCGTCAAATGTAGGATGATGAATAAAGTAAAATAATTTGTATAAGAACGCAACAAAATACATATTAAGAATTTTAACTAAATTCAATAATTTTATTTGTCGATTTCGAGCTTTCGGTACTGACTCGTACCATTGTCAAGAAACAAATGACAACAAAACAATTTACATTCTCTGTATATCCCAAAATGTGACGCTTTTGCTATTTGACATATCGGAAGAATAGAAAAAGATAGAAATTAGCCTGTTATATAACATGAAACGACGTTCTACAGAAAAGCTACTCATACTGATTTATACCTGCTTTACGAGAGTAACCAATGTCGTAAATACAAATTAGGATTTATTAGAACGATGATAATTCGACTGCTGATGATATGCTCTACTGATGATTACAAAAAGGATGAATTAGAGCGATTGAAAAATATACTACGTGATAACGGATATCCGGAACATATAATAAAGAAAGGAATTCGTGAAGGTGAAATTGTAACTAAAAACATAATCAAAAAGCAACAACAGCCTACACAGACAAATGCCAGCTCCTACTAAGAAACGAACTATGTTCTTCACTCTTCCGTACTATGGTCATGAATCTGATATACTAGCAGAAAGATTGAAGTAGATCAGCAGAAAACTTTTGCCAACAATTCAGTTAAACATTGCATTTCGAAAAACTATGACACTAAAAGCAATTATCTTACCTCTACAAAAAGGTAAAGACGAATCGAGAAGTACAATGAAGCTGGTATACAAAATTCTATGCAAAGACTGTAATATTTCATATATTGGAGAGACAGGATGTCAACTGACAACACGAATGAAGAAGCATCGGAAAGATATAAGGAAAAATACATAACGTCAGCCGTTGCACAACATGCTAATTCGAAATCACATTCATTTGATTTCGATAAGGTAGAAAAATTAGCTTATGAAAGAGACTGGAGAAAACGAAGAGTTTATATGCTCAGTTTGCATATGGTAAATCAATTAATGATACGAAATACAAACTGAAAGTCTTTGGATAATGCGAATAAAGTCCTCCGTGGAGGACTTCACCCTACACCGAAAGGTAATGGATATTACTACTACAATTTTGTAGGCAATGTAAAGTTCTTTGAACTTGTTATTCGAATAACAGGCTAATTTCTATCTTTTTCTGTTCTTCCGATATGTCATAAAAAGACAAAAAAGATAAAGCAAAAGCGTCACATTTTGGGATATACAGAGAATGTAAATTGTTTTGTTGTCATTTGTTTCTTGACAATGGTACGAGTCAGTACCGAAAGCTCGAAATCGACAAATAAAATTATTGAATTTAGTTAAAATTCTTAATATGTATTTTGTTGCGTTCTTATACAAATTATTTTACTTTATTCATCATCCTACATTTGACGAGAGGAGCAAAATTGTCTTCTCCGTTCTTCCCACGTTTTCTTTATATCTTTATATTTTTCTTTCCGTTTTACTTATATTCATGTATTGTACACACTAATCATTTTGACTAATAAAGTTCTATAGCATAGAACGAAACGTCTCAAATAAATAAAGTTGTTACTTTATACTTATGTTTAAAAGGGTGATTTTAGTCCTACTTTTCTTATCATAATGATTCATTTACAGGACTTATTACACACACAGAGATAATCAACGACAAACACTGTATTCAATAATGGGTGCAAGCACCGAGGGCTGAGGGACCAGCAAAACTGGATGTCCGGTCTCAATTTCCATAAAATTGAAAAATAGTTGACTAAGATGTTTTGGTTAAGTACGATTTTAGATGGGTTGTTTATTTATTACTGCTTTTTTGATGTATGGCCAGCCGTCGAAGACAGCTATCGATTCTGGTGAAAATATGGAAATAACTGTCATTCCTTTCACTAATACTATTCATTTCATTTCATTTTTATTTAGTTTAAATCTAAACAGGGAAACAGGAAAAGCCCCCGGCTTGTAAATACTGCTCTCAAAAATCTTTCAGCTACTATTGCCCTTCTCAATCTCTTAATTCTTTGTGAAGTACACATGTGCCGTAGCTGGTGTCTTAAATGATAGAATGGATGATCGTAGTGTCCGTCAAGCTTATTTTAGATAAATACAACCACTCCTGAATGATACACTTTACCAAGATTTCATAAATATTAGATGAAGATTTTGGTTGGCATGACCATTATTAATCGTCGAATACTATTTTCTTGTGCTCAAACTGAATGAAACTCATTAAAGCATGATGGTGATAACGCTTCATAGAAAAGAGTAGCTTTTGACTAGAAAAAAACCGGGACTAATATATGGACGAAAACTCTTTTTTCGAAAAAAATTGCACTGAAAAAGTCGAAAACTTTTTTGGATTGGATGTCCAGCGGGCGAAAGAGAGATCCGAGGAAACCGACAAGTAGGGAAGTGAGGAGGTGTGAGGGTCCAGAAGTGAGAGTTTGACCGAACATCGTTTATGGAGGAAGGGAAAAATACATAAAATAATAAAGAATGAAGCACATAAATAAGAAAGACCGAAATATAAACCGCACATCATAAGATTCCTTTTTGGAGTCGACCGATTTGTTTTAGAAACAAAACTAGAAGTCAGCGACAGAAATAATAAAAACACTTTTATCGTTCTCAGTCATTTTCATTAGGCAAAAATCAGTAACGATGAATGATTCACATATTTTTGTTGTACTGCCTTTGGTTTTGATGTACAATGAGTTTAATATATCAATATCACGAAGAAATACTCCATTTTATCGAAAGGCGACTATAAATTTCAGGCTAATGTTTGATCCCAAAACGAGATATGTATGAGCTTGTAGAAGAAGACTTGCTCTCTCCAGTAGTGTATATATTGTCGAATCCTAATGTGCACCATCAGAGAAAATGAAACATAATCCCTCTTTTTTCAGACATTTTTTCAGCAATTTATTTTATTATTGAGTTAAATATTGTGCACTATAGAGTACAGTGTCCTCCACAAAATAAGATCACTCACAGCTTTCCAAGATCTTTCGTTGAGAAGATGCGAACTTTTTAAAGTTTGTTCCTGTACGCTGAAAAAGCCATAGGTTTTTGCTTTCGAAACTTTTTTCTCTTTCATTCAGTACTTGATAAACTTTTCAAACAGTCATCTTGTAGAGTAAAGATTTCTCCACCAAATGAGATGTCTCTCAGCTCTCCACCATGTTTTTCTGATAGAGTTATGATCATTTTGCTGGAAGCCTTCGAGAAAGTCACATTTGTGATATAACGTCCAAAATTATCATAACTCTATCAGAAAAACATGGTGGAGAGCTGAGAGACATCTCATTTGGAGGAGAAATCTTTACTCTACAAGATGACTGTTTGAAAAGTTTATCAAGTACTGAATGAAAGAGAAAAAAATTTTGAAAGTAAAAACCTATGGTTTTTTCAGCGTAAAAGAACAAACTGTTTCGTCAAAACCTTATAATTGCCTTTTCAGTTGAAAACATTTGGTTAATCTGTAACGGGTGGGCCATAAAGAATGACTTCCTCAGTATTTTGCTTATAACTTTGTCTGGATTTATTTCCGAGACTCGATGTTGTTTTAAAAATGCGCAGCGAAATAGTCTACAAAATCATACCTAAACTATAATTTGAGAACTTCAGTCAAGAAAACTAAGCCAATTAGATGAAAGTAGAAAAAAAAGTAACCCTTTCTAAACTCAAAATGATTTCTTGTGTTAACGTTTTGAAAGTAAGAAAAACTGAATTAGCCATTTTGTGCCCTGACTTCGCTCTATCTTTTATTTACGCTTCAAATTTTTTCACATCAAAAGCCTCAGTGAAATAATAGTTTTTCTATCGGTTGCCGTGCATTTTGTCATTAATTTTTTAAATTTTGGGTACAGTAGTGCTTTCGGTAAAAGTCCCATGACTCCATCAAAATAAAAGCTTTTTCGGTCGGGTTTGCTTCGTTTTAATCAGAAATGATTGCTCTTCTCTATCTAACTGCAAAATCAAATTTCAATCATCTTTTCCGTTTCTTGATTGAGCACATTGTTGGAAGCGGGGAGGTTATCATATTTTGATGTATTTTTGTAACTTCGTTCTCAAGCACACTATCTGCTCCAAAAAAGTTTGTTTACAGACCACGAGAAAGAGCACATTTGAAAGTACCAAACATAAACTGAGTTCTTACTCTTGCTACACTTTTTAGCCGAAATAGTAGCAGAAGAAAAAGTTTAAGTCGAAAAAAATTTTGAGTTTAGAAAGTGTACATTTTTTTCGACTTTCCTCTAATTGGCTTAGTTTTCTTGACTGATGTTCTGAAATTATAGTTTAAGTATGATTTTGTAGAAAAATCGAGAAGACATCGAGTCTCGGAAACAAATCCAAACCAGATCACTCTTTATGGCCTACCTGTTATAATAACAGCGCAAACCAGCTTTGCAGATCAGTGAGTGTAGATTATTCGCCCACTAACAACTGTGTTCTTCTGGCAATACAGCAGTTATACCGATATGAGTTGAAGAAAAGAAGCTTACCTCAGCTTTCTAAAGAACAGTGGAAATGAATTGCTGGTTGGTTTGATTTTAGATCCAAAATGTTATTTTTGCAGGAATGCTGTTATGGGAGTTAGTATAGATAATAATGTTGGCAGCGACAAGTATTTTCTTTCTGCATATAAAAATGAAATAAAATTCTAACAGCGATCGCTTTTTCTCTTTAAATTTACCTTTACAACTAAGTTTCTTCAATGCAACGATTAAAAAACACTGGTAAAGCAAGAATTGGATGAAGAACAAGCATACTTTGGCTTCTTTTCTACATCAAAGAAACCTTCAAAGTTGTACTTCATCCTTCCTTAACACATAAAAAGTGTTTTGTTCTATATTGTAGTAAATACATTGAAGAATATTTAAAGCAAAAAAGAATGTTCGCACAACATCAAATTACAGTTTAGAGTTAGCAGGCAAGTTTGTCTAAGTGTACAAAATAGACTCTGTGTATACAGAGTCAAAACAAACGAAATTTCGGTTTAGGCGCAAATTTTCTCAATTGATAGAAAAGCTCAAAGTACGGAAAAAAATCCAAAACCCAAATCTAAGATTTTGTTTTTCTTCAAAAACATTTTTCTTTCAGAATTATAGACACCACCACCAAACTGAGATTTATGTGACTTTCTATATACTTGAATAAGTTCTATTCCTGTACTTAAGTTTCATCCGATCAGATCAAAAATTTTACTGCAGGTACCTGAGATGATAACACATACTTGGATAACTTGATGAATGCTATTTTGTTTCGCAAAATAGACGAACTACACTCACAGTAAGATACTGAGAATTGACATTTGTACCTGTAAAAATCTATTTCAATAAGAATAAATAATAGGGATGATACTTTCTCCTTATCGTTACTGTAACGGGTAACGAAAATCTATTACTCGTTTTACTTCTGGAAAAGTAACGGGTAAAATACTTTTTTTGGTTAAAATAACGCGTTAATTCATTTGTTAGCCCGTTGAAACTCATAGAAACATTGAATTAAAGAATAGATTTTTGAAACTTAAATCAACATGAGAATTATGTAAAGCAGTAGTGCATAAAGTTTACAGAGTTACAGTTCCCGAGCCAAGTTTTGTGTTGAACTCGCGCTAAAAAGTCGTGGCGCGATCACGTAACGCGATTGCTATACGAGTCGCGAAATAAGATGCGATTTTAGCGATCGCTATTCTGTCGCGATCTACAATTAAAATAGAATACACCTTAGCTCTTCTCGCTACGTGATCTTGAATATATGACGAAAAACTAGAAGGAGCAAAATGCATAAAACGTTCAGAATTAATAGCGTGCATTGACGGATCAACAACTGATATAAAGAATTATCTAAAATCCTGTCAAGGTATAGCAAAAGTAATTAAAAAGAATGTTGAAAATAAATCTCACCTGCAAAAAATAGATAAAAAAATAAATGAAATAATCCATAGTCAATAATCAGTTTCAAAGTTAATTGATTTGATTTCCTTAATAATTAACGAAGATGCAGAAAGTTTTGAAACATCAACAAAATTCGAATGAAATTGTCTGTCAACACATGTATGCGGTTGAAATATATTCATGGTTCAAATGTTGAAAAAGAAAGTTCTAACTTCTGAAACGGTCTACCAGACACACGAACATGATTCATCCTTAGTCGTTTTGTCTATTTTTTTCAAATTATAAATCACCAGAAGTAAGTTATATAAGTATATTTAGTAAAACATTACATATCTCTAAGTTTTCGCAGTGAATGCAAACAGAAGTTAAATATTTTTTTGGCGCTTCAACTATTGAATTCTGAAGCTTAGACTTCTTTTTAAACACAAAAAATTGATTTCTATGTAAATAAACACAGACAGCAACGACTCATCAACTAAATCTTGCACAGCATTAGCGCAAAATCGCCTTTTTATACGGAGAACAGAATCGGTTCAAATTTTTTTCTGAAGAGCTTATTATATGAATCGACGGTCAGCAAAGTAACTCCTAATTCAAATCACTTTTCGCATTTTGGCGAGAATAGTGACCGTATAAAAAGCCGATTTTGCGCTAATGGAAATTGATCGTTATAGTCTAAGTACTTTTTAGTACCAAAAATAATTCTTCTATCTTCATCGCTCTGCTTTCCGGCAACTTTCTTAACGATTTTCTCATTAACTATGACATTTAGAAAAAAACTTCCAATGCCAAAAGACAGAGCGTATGCTGAAATATATGCCCTGCTACTCAAATCTTGAAAAAGCGCACTTTCGTTTTTCCACCCAAATATGATGTGACCCATGGTCAGACCTATTTATCGATAGAGAGCCAGAAGTTGCTAATAATACCAAATATCTACTGCATAGTATTATTAAAATGATATACGTTAGAAACATTGGGAATTTATACGTAGAGGGCAGCACATATCTAAAAATTTACAACTGAGCGAAAACAGACTAACATAAACAGTATTTTCTGAAATGATAAGAGCAGCTAAATGGATGCAAATTAGTGGATTAGAATCAACTCTTTCTTAGATATGCCATTTTGATAACATACTATCCGGTAGAGTATTTGGTATTAATATTTATATATAATTTATCAGAATTCCATGCTCTTTCGAATGAAATAGGCCTCGAAGTTTGCTGTGAAAGTCGATATAATGCTGGTCGAATTATCTTGAAGCTTGCGTGAGTGCACTGATACGAGAAATTATTTTCTTATTTAGTGGAAATTCGATGCAGAGAAAACTTTTTCATGCGTTTATGAAAATAAACGAGTGTTTCGATTTTTGAGCAAAATAGAAAACATCTGTTTTCTCTTTAAAAGAAAGTGCATGTGATCTTCTGGAAAATCAATTTTTCGCCCAGTGGAAGATCGTCTGTCAATTTAGTATTGTATGAAAAAAACATTTTTGTATTTCAGTAAAAGTGAAAATCGTCTAAATTCTAGAAAAATCGATCAATTTCCTAGAAAATGGAGAAAAAACGCTTGAAAAATGATTCAACTTTCTTCCAGTTTTTGTTCTAACTTCGAAAGTAGTTTATTTTAAGTAAAGATAAAACAACTAAAACTGAGAAAATTAGACAGTCATCACAGATCAAAAAACTCAATGAACAGTTAAACAATGCTACTTCTAACGAAGAAAAGAAACTATTATCGAAGCAAAAATCTGCAGCAGAAGAAGATTTAGATAAAGTGTGGGAAGAGATAAAGTCAAATTTAACGATGGTTTACAAATTCGTAGACAATTTTCTATTTTTACAGAANTTTATTTTAAGTAAAGATAAAACAACTAAAACTGAGAAAATTAGACAGTCATCACAGATCAAAAAACTCAATGAACAGTTAAACAATGCTACTTCTAACGAAGAAAAGAAACTATTATCGAAGCAAAAATCTGCAGTAGAAGAAGATTTAGATAAAGTGTGGGAAGAGATAAAGTCAAATTTAATTTAGTTGTAACGATGGTTTACAAATTCGTAGACAATTTTCTATTTTTACAGAATAATTCCAGTTTACGATTTTTGAAGGGTAAATATAGTAAATAGATTCTTATTTTCCAGTTTAGAAAACGATCTGATTTTTCAGTTTTTTAAAATCAAATGTTATTTTTCTAAACAATCAAAAAATTTTATAGAAAAACCAACATTTTCTGTAAAATCGTTTTTTCAATTCATGAAAAAACGCAAAAAAAACAAAAATCGAGATTTATTTACTATATGAGCTCTTTAAAAACGATGTAGTTTTTTCTAGGAAATATTTTCTGCAGCGGAATTGAATCATGTAATGAAGCAGTGTCACAAAACAATGCATAATGGTAAGCATCCTTGTGAAAAATAAGGTTATGTGAACATGTATTGTTCTTATTTGGTTTCTTTTTAAGGCAGATAAGATAACATGTAGTTTTTTTTGCTATTTTATGTTCTCGTTCCCATTTATTTTTTTTAGTATTGTGACATTGACTGTTAATAAAATATTCTTTGTGATGAATGCGATACTAAAATCTCACTTTTGATACAAAAGCTACGGTGTTGCTTTAATGTGGTCGAAACCTATCAATTCTGCCACATTTTTCATTAATTCATTATTAAAGTGGACCGCTTGATCGGTAATGAGCCGATTTGGTACACCAAAGTTAAAAATGAATTCTTCGACAAATGTTTGGGCAGTTGTTTGTGCTGTGTTGTAAGGTAACGCCTTCGCTACGATAAATTTTGTCAAGTAATCGGTTACGACTAATACATATTTATTTCCATTGACGAATTCTTGTCTGGTTGGTCCCCAAAAATCCATGCCGACTAATTCCATCGGTCCTTCTGGTAGCGGAATTGGGTTCAATTTTCCAGGTGTTTTTGTTCTTTTGATGTTAAACTTGGCACATTTTTCGCATAATCGAATATAACTTTCAACTTCACCATGCATCTTTGGCCAATAACAGCGATCTTTGAGTTTCGTCCATGTTCGTCTGGAGCCAAAATGAGCTGCTGTTGGATAGTCGTGATAACTTGCCAAAACTTCGGTTCTCATTGATGATGGAATATAGATTAATTTCAAATTAGTTCTTGCACGAGGACGAGAGGCCAGTTTGTATAACACAGTGTTTTCAATAATATATGATGATTCGTGTCGAATATTTTTTACAGTTTGTTGAGCATTTATGTCCTTCTTCTGTTCTTCTCGTATTCTCTCGATTCCAAAGTCGAAGGTCATTAGTGGTTGCTTAGTGGACCCTGTTCCGGTTGTGCTAGATGCGGAAGACATGTCATTTTGGTTCACGCTGGTGGTTTTTTGTGTCATGGATCGAGTAATGGCATTGAGAGCAAGATATTCGGCATTATGGCGTAATGGTTCAGCCATTTGACCTTCTACTTCTGGCCGTGAGAAACCATCGGCATCTCCATGCAGACATCCTTTCTTGTACTTCACGTCGATCATTTGCGGAATGATGTCTTGGTGTTTCAAAAGCCATAGTTGAATTTGTTCTTTTTGTGGAATTGTTCGAGTGGCTTGTGGTCGGTATGAATGATGACATCTCGGTCACCCAAGTATTGTTGCAATTTATTGACGCANTAATGGTTCAGCCATTTGACCTTCTACTTCTGGCCGTGAGAAACCATCGGCATCTCCATGCAGACATCCTTTCTTGTACTTCACGTCGATCATTTGCGGAATGATGTCTTGGTGTTTCAAAAGCCATAGTTGAATTTGTTCTTTTTGTGGAATTGTTCGAGTGGCTTGTGGTCGGTATGAATGATGACATCTCGGTCACCCAAGTATTGTTGCAATTTATTGACGCACTTCTTAAGACATATTGAGACACGGTTTTTAAGACACTAAGACTTAATTTATTGAGACGCAAGATGGATTTTTCTTTCCTATAGTCTGTCTCTCTCACCAATTTGACATCTCTCATTATATCTGACTTTAGCTTGGTCGAAAAGGCAGAAATCGTACTGTTTTCTAATTCTATTTAAGTACAAAAACGATCTTGCACAAACCAAGATATAGCAATGAGAAAAATAATACGATTTCTACTATTTTGATTCAATTAAAGTCAGATATGGTGAGAAATGTAGAATGAATGGAAAATACCACCTGTAGAAGGAGCGACCTGCAGCAGATCTATCTTAAAAACTCTGTTGCTGCAAACAATCCTACATTCATCTCAAATCAACTTAGCATGGTCTTTTCTTCGGGATGTGATCCGACTAAGTTGTAATGTCAGTCGTCATTGAATAAACAAAATATATCTGAAAGTAAACAATAAGCAAAAAGCATGAAGTACCGTAAGCAGAACGTTTAAGGGTACCGTACACAGTTTAAGGGTACGCCCCCCTCTTTCTTGTAAAAATTTCGCATTTTGAGCTGAGCAAAGCCTAATGTAGAGGACAGTGTGGGCTACAAAATAAGATCACTCCCAGTAATCCACGACCTTTTCTCAAAAGTTATGGATTTTGAAGTTTTTCCTTCAAGACCTAAAAAAACTCACTTTTCAAATTGCAATCATAAACTTTTCTCTCACTTTTCTGTACATGCAATATTTTTCTTACACATAGTCTGATAGAAGAAAGTGTTTTCTTCACAATGAGATGTTTCACAGAATTTTTCGATGAGTTTTCGCGAATATATAAGCATCGCGGCAAATGCTCTGAAAAAAGTGACCTATGTAGAAAATGCGTTTTTTCTCGAAAACTATTTTTTTGCAACTGGGCTGCATTGTTCCACATTACAATCTCTCTTAAATTTCATTTGATCGAGTTCAAAATTTTTTAGATTTTTCTTTACCGAGTTATAGGAATTCTAAAATTGAAAAACTTGGTTTTTGAGGCGTTTTTCAGTATTTTTCCTATAACTCGACCAGGGAAGGTCTCAAAAGAATTTCCCAAAAACGACCTCTGAGGAATGACCTTCAGTACCTCTGGTAAAATTTTGAACTCGATCGAATGCAGTTTAAGGGGAGTCGTAATGTGGCACAATGAAAAACTGGAGAACGGCAATAGTTGAAAACTTGAAACAAAAACAAAAATTGCTCCATTGAGTTTCCAGTCAGTTCTGAAAATATGAAGCCCTACCGACTTTTAGTTTCTACTTCACAGCATTTCTACGGAAAGCCCAAAAAGAGGGGAGAGGTACCCTTAAACAGTTATTAGTTTGACTATTGACTGTGAAATAAATGTTTTTCACGAGTTTGTTCAAGTAACTTTTCAGCTAGACAATTTCTTCAGTTCTACTCATTTTAAAAATTTTCAGCTTAAAAAGTCGTTGAAGTGTGATAAAATTTGCTCGTCTAGGCATATGATTTTTATTTATTTAATCATAAGAAAGTTATACAATCATACATTGAATTGAACACGTACACACTAAAATTCAATTAAAAATGTCATTTTCCATCTCCTTGTTCGTTTTCATCTTTTGTGATAACAGCAACTCTATGCATTTTTCTTTTTTGTGGCCAATAATCAGCCGTTGCATAATGTTGGGTTGAACGTTCATCCCATAGAACAACATCATTTTCATTCCATTTCCATCGACATGTTAATTCTGGCCGTTTATTTATTAATGAAAATAAATAATTTAATACTAAATCACTTTCAATCGAATTTAATTCGATAATACGTGTTGTAAAAATCATATTAACAAATACACATTTCTTTCCAGTTACTGGATGTTGACGAATTACGGGATGTTGAACAGATGGATATTGTTGATTAGCTTGTGCTAATTGTTGTTCACTATTTGGTCTTATCGCTGAATTAAATCCTTTTGAAAGCGAATGTTCAGCTGTTAAGTGCTCTAAGAATTGTTGCATTCCAGTTGATAGTTCTTGTTCGTATAACTGGCTCATATTTGCCCATAATGTATCACCACCACCCTGTTTAGGAATTTCTTTTGCATATAACATGCCAATGATTGGTGGATTAGATGAAAATGTAACATCTGTATGCCATATATCTGAATCTGGTTTAATATCAGTACCACCAAATTCAATAACTGTCACTTCAGGACACTCAGGAATATGAGGATAAACTGGATGAATATGTGCTTGACCAAACTGTAAAGCAAAATCGCGTTGTTGCTCAGGCGTTAAATGTTGTTGACGGAAAACAAGAACATGATGTTTGTAAAGAGCTTGTTCCAGTTGAGTTTTTTCATCAGCGGTCAATGGTTTGGATAAATCAAAATCATGAATAATAGCACCAATACTGGGTACTAAGATTTCAATATTTAATTTAGTAGCAGAACCGCAAGTTGACATACTTCTTCGCCTTTATTCTTTGTTAAAAATGAAATGCAAAAATATTTCTCTACCTTTCTTCTTCTTGAGGAGATAAAGAACAACTTACAACATATGAAACTCAGCTATCACACGATAGCTGAGTTTGTAAGTTGTGACTCGCAGATGAATACAAAAAACAACTTGAAACAAACTATTTTTCGTTCTGTTTCTTCCTAGAAACAAAACTTTTGGTTTACATTTGCCGAAAAAGTTGGTGTGAATCATTTTTGGTATCTTTTTCCACCCAAACGATGAACTAATTCAAGATTTTGTTTATCCAAGGATTTCTCCCCAATATTTGGTATTATTGATCAAATGAGAGATCACGCATGGTAATCGGACACAAACATTTTTTCTCGGATGAATCAACTACTGCGCCATCGAAAAACGTTTTTTTAGCGTAGTACCATGTATGACATATGTAATTCGAACGAGGGCACGTAATAGCTAGTACGATTAAAAACTTATCTGTAGGAAAAGGATCAGGGCAAGGGAAAAAATCGGAAAGCAGCTGGCCGTTTAGATATAAAATGGTCAAATAAATTATTTCATTCTAGAAATGTTAGCTAGACTGGATATTTACGGAAGATGTGTGCTATTGAGCGTAGAATAATTTTAAAAATATTAATTTTTCGAAAGTACTCTGAACCCTTCGTGGTAGGATTAAAAGTGCTTTTTGCCGAAAAACTCTGTCTGTAACAGCGTATAGGGTGAACAACTTTTATTTTCTTATTTATATTATTATATTGGCAGAAATTCAAAAGGCATATTTTTGAATAGAACAGCCCAGTTTTTTATTTCTTAGAAAATCTCGGAAATACTTTTCCATTTGACTCGATTCTGATTCGCTATTTTTCTCTCTTTACGCAATGGCAGGTGGTCTTTCTTTTTTCTTATGTTCTGAGATAATGAACTATCGATCATTCTTATTGCTGCATCATAATTAATTTATATAAAATGTAATCAATGTTATCTTTCAAAATTATTATCATCATTCTTTTCTACATATTAGCGACATTATATGTTAGTTACTAGTTATTTTGTTAACAATGAAGCGCAAGGAGAATATGTTTTTTATGGTGATCCAGACCAATTGACTAACAAATCACATGATGATAATGGAAAATGTTGTATGACTTCGATTGGTATATTTGATTAAGCAAGAAATCATTTGTTCAGATCAAGATTTAATTATTTGTCATGGTTTGAATGAAAAAAAGATAGAAAAAACGAAATTGTAACTTTTAACGAAATCCTTTTTTTGCCGCTTTTTTTGTATTTGCTATTCCAAAACTTTTACAAACATTAACAGTAAACACGGGAATTTTTTCCAGTTTTTTCATTCACTTTATTTTATCGTCATCTCAACGTGCTGACTTTTAAGAGAGTCTCTAAGTGAAAAGCGAGCATTCGGATTATAGAGCCTAGCATGAAAAATATTTTTATCTTCTGCAAATGTGTCCAGTCGATTCGACATTCGAACTGTGGTTGGGAAAAAAACTTCGCGTCTTAAAATTTTTATTTTGTCGAGCTATGAATTAGATTCGTCGCAATTTTTGAAATAATGATCTATGCTCGAATCTCAAGTCTCGAATTAACATCCTTTATACGTTCTTCGCAAATAAGATGAAATAATACTGAAGAAAACATGTGATATATTTCAAAAGCTCTTCCTCTCGACGTTTTGATGTTAGAAAAAGCATCTCTCTCTTTTAGATAATTTCGCTTGCGGAGTTTGTAGAGCAAACATTTTTCACAACAACTTTGCTCTTGAAATCATTCTATTTGAAGTGGAACAACAACTCGGAAAATGCGGAACAATGAGAACCTATGTACCGAATTAAATACTATAGTGGTAAAACAAAAGCACACTGCTTAGGATCAGTGTATGTTATTTCGTCTGATAGATGATTAATTTTTTTCTAAATCACCTTTTGTTGACTCAGTCCATGACAGTCGCATGTAGTATTCGTATGGTATCAGTCCAGCTCAACAATCTATGATCCTTCTGTGACGGATAGAGATGTCGAACACGTAGGTTAGAACATAGACACGGAATGTGAAGATCCTGGCTTCGAATCCTAGTCTGGGCACATATTTTTCCTTCACACCTTCCTCATACAACGTTATTAATTGCTAAAAGCTTTACAAGCACAGGCTATCCATTAACATACGTTAGGCTAAATGAACTTTTCTCAATCACCAAAAGATCTTTAATTATCATCTTGCAAATGTAAAGAGTCTCATTATCAGAGAGGTTGAAAAATCGGCGTCACAAATATTAGAATATCTATCATAGATAAACTAATTTAGTATGACACATACCTCTGCGATATACGAACAACTCACTCTGATACTTTTAGTGCTGTTGAATTACTTTGAGTACTGCCACCTGGAGAGTCCAGAAATGAATTTAAATCTCGTATGTCACTTTCATCACTACACTGTTAGAAATCTGTGTTCTTCCGTTCTTTGGAGAACATGGTGAAGAACACGAATGTGTTCTTTGAAAACTGAAGAACAGAATATATGTTCTTCAGCCTATTTTCGCGTTTTTGTTCTTC